GATTACCCGGTCCACAGTCCACGCGCCGCCCGGATGAGCGAGAGAGAGCGGGGGGGGTGGGGCGGGGTGGGGCGGGGCGGGGCGGCGTGGGCGTGAGAGAGTGAGAGAGACGGCGCGCCCTGACCAGCGCAACGCCCAACCCATCCCAGCCCAAGCCCGGATTAGCCGACGCCCTTATCCGGCGGCGCCATGCCGCCGTGCCTCGCCCGCCTCGCCACTGCAAAAGCCTCCCCGGCCTCGCCCGGCAGACTGATTCCGTCTCTCCGTCTCTCTCGCACCCATGCGGAGCTTCCACGAGTGCGAGAGAGAGGCAGAGCGACGAAACCGACTCTCGGAATCACCTCACCCAGCCTCGCCCACCTCAGCTTCATCGCCAATTCATTTGACGCCTGTCTCTCTCCCTCTGCCCTCCAGCAGCCTCCATCAATTCTTACGGTGGTGCGGTCGCCACCAGCACACACGCGCACACACACATGCGCACACACACGCCAAGGCCGTGAGGTGGTCCGCGCGCCGGCCGTCCGAGCCCCACGCCCCCGCCCTGCCCGGCCTGCCCGGATCAGTCCTCTAATCTTCAAACTCCCCTAATTCCCCGCCTTCAGCCTTCAGCCCGGATCCAGCTTTACCAACCCCCGCCGCCCCGCCGCCGGGCCGCCCCGCGGACCTGGATCAGCCGGCCGGGCACCGCCGGGCTCAGCTGGGCGCTCGCTCGCCCTCTCTCTCTTTCTCTCTCACACACACACTCACACATCCATCCCCCTCTCTCTCTCCCTCGCGTCCACTGTGCCCTTCCCTTCAATCCTCGCCGCCTCTCCTTTTCCACTCCATCCTTCCTTCCGCTGTGGGTCGGTCCTGGTGCTCGCCCTCCACTGCGTCCTCCCCGCCCGCCGGACAGGCGTGGAATATTCGCGTTGGTCGAGGCCGGGAGGCCGCCGAGAAACTAAAAGGTGAGGCGAGAGCGCCACAAGATAATCAAATAATCGTAAATCCGGACCGCGGCACCGCACTGGAGGACGGCCCGCCGCGCGAGGCACCTGAGGCGCAACGGCGTCCCTCACTCCCTCACCGCGACGGCTGCATGCGGCTGCATGGTGCATGGCGGGGGGCTTCTTATCTACGGCGATTAGGGGCAGAGTGCGGCATATTCATCCGCGGGGCCCACTCCCGCGGGGCTCCCGCTGCTCCCGCTGCTCCCGCTGGGCACGGCCGCGGCGTGGGCGTTGAGCGCCGCAAACCGCCACTGAGGCCGAGCGTTTTCGTCGCTCTGTCTCTCTCGCACTCGTGGGGCGTCCCGTACAGGTGCGAGAGAGACAGGGCGACGAAGACGACTCTCGGAATCAGCCCAAGACGAGGCGCTACACCGCGATGCGCGAGGCGCTTTGCGCGCTGCGCGCCGACAAGACGTACAGCGTGTCACGGAAAAACTGACTCCGCATTTGCATAATCCGGTGGCGCGGCGCGAGCGCGCGAGCGATGTGCGTACCGAGGAATCATCATATTTCACATGCCGACGCGCCGTGCCGCCGTGCCGCCACCGCCGTGCCGCCAGTGCCGGCGCCGAGCGTGCGTGAGTGCGCCGCGGGTACCGCGTGAGCACCTCCACGCCGGCGCCGCGGGACAGGCAGACCGTCCACCGGCAAACCAAAACAAATACCCGCCCGCAGAGCGATTCCGCGCATCACTCTGTCGCTCTCGCACTCATCGGGCGCCCCGAGAGAGACGGACACTGTGTGGAATCAGTCTGCACCCTCTCACCGCGCACTTTGTATGAAAATGTGTCCGGTCGGAGGCGCTGGCTGGCTGGCGCCGGGCGGGCCGGCTGCGTCGCTCTGTCTCTCTCGCGCTCATGGGGCGTGGCGCAGGGGTGCGAGAGAGACGGAGCGACGGCAGGATCGGCGGGACGGGCGGCGCCATCAGGCCGCCAGGCCATCGGGCCGGGTCGGGCCACGCGTGGCCGCTCCGCCAGTGCCCCGCCAGTGCCCCGCCAGTGCCCCGCCACTGCTTCGCGCTTCGCCCTGCCCTGGCCGTCTCATGACCCTGTTCCCAGCATTGTGGCCGCCCGGCCGGCCCGGCCGGCTAGTTTAGCAGCCCTATCATGATGGCGGCCGCGAGCCCCTCGAAGAAGCCGCCCCGCCCCGCCCCGCCCCGCCCCGCCCCGATAGCGCGCAGAGCATTACCACATTTCCGCTTAGTTTTCGAGCTCGCTTTTTAAGCGCCGCATTTTTCTTCTTTCTGTAAAATGCCTTTTTTTTTGGTGAGGCCGCGGTTTTCTGTTTGTTCCAGCACTACTCTACTGCGCAGAGCAGATTCCGCCAGCAGCCTATTTTCCCCAGCAGGCCAGGGACCTTGCCGTTCGATGCCGAACAAGCATCAGCGCCGCCGTCGTCTCTCTCGCACTCGCGTGGATCTACGGTCCGTTTGTACACCCTACAAGTGTGTGGCGAGAGAGACAGAGCGACTGGGTGCTGGAACAAAGTGTGGGGCAGGTCGAACGCCCAGCGCGCGAGCCGCGCAAGCTAGCTTCACAAGGGCCGACTTAATTAATCGTGTCATTAAGACTGTTGCGGCCGTCGGCTGCCACACACACACACACACTCACAGAAACACACACTCACACACACACCACGCGGGATCAATAGACTACCAGCACTGGAAGCAGAGCACACGGCGGCGCGCCAAAGCCCCGCAAAAAACGCCACAACAACACACACAAACGATGAAATAAAATGCAACGCCAAACGAGACGTCGAGACGGGGCGCGGTTCTCTCTGTCTCTCTCGCACCTATAGGGGACGCCCTGTGGGTGCGAGAGAGACAGAGCGAGGGGCTCGCGGAATCAGTGTACACTGCAGGCAGGCAGGGCGGCGCGGGGGGACGTAATGGCGCCTCGGCGTGCGAAGCGCCGAACACTCCAAGCAGTGCGGTGCGGTGGCGGTGCGGTGGCGGTGCAGACAGCGCAGTGCCGCCTGGCCTGGCCCGCGGGCCGGACGGGGAGGGCTTCCCGGTGTTCCCCGTGTGAGGTGGCGCCAGAGCGCGCCGGCGCGTCGCCGTCGCCGCCGTGGTGCCGGCCGGCCTGTGCCCTTGCCCGCCATGGGAAGGGCGCGGCGGCGAGCGGCGGCGACACGGCCGGGGCCGCAAGTCGCGGGTGTTGTCGGCGGACCAGTGGACGGCCGCGCGAGTGAAGGACCAGCAAACTTGGCAGCGGAACTTTTCGTGAAAGATTTCCAAAACATGAATTTGCAAACCGCCATTTGAGACGGGTTGATTATCGGACCCCACTGTGCTTTCGCCTTTCGGCGCTCAAACCCCGCGCCGCTCCGCTGCAAGCGCGGGATGGCCGGTCGGCCGAGGGAATTCCGGATTCCAAGCGTGATCTATACATCGAGCCACTTTGAAGACGCGGCGTAGCGCGCCAAGAGGGCCGCGGCGCGGCGGAGTGGCGGCGCTACCCACCGCACGCACGCCGCTCCAAAATTCATGAGGGGCGGCGGGGGCGAAAAAAATGCTCTTGATTGAAATAATACACTTGTTAGGAGCGACCGAGATTAAAAAACATTTCTTACAAAGGCCGCTTGGCGAGGCGGGGAGCGCGGGGAGCGCAGAGCGGCCCTACACTAGGAGTCGTTCCCACACATGAGGCATCGCAGGAATTTCGGAACCATTAGAGCGGCGGGGATCTTCATGGAACAGAGGGAGAGGATTCCAGGCGGGCTGTTCAGATCGGAACAGAATAAGCGAGGGGATACAGGGTGGGCGGTTCAAATCGGATCCCACTCGCGGCCCGGTTCGAGCACAGGCACTCCCGTTTCTCTCGCGCCCGAATGGCCCGCCCCGTGAGTGCGAGAGAGACAGAGAGACGGGTGACGGCCGGTGCACTTCCGTGAGCCGTATATACCTGTTGGCTTCGCGGTCCTCGGCCCCTGGGCCCCGTCCCGTCCCGCCCCGCCCCGCCCCGCCCCGCCCCGCGGCCGCCGATCGCTATATAAAGCGCGGAAAACACAGAGCCGGTAAGTCGTTGATGGATTACGGGGTGCCGTGGGATTACGCCGAGCCACACTAAATCACTGCGCCGCGCCGCACCGCGCAGCGCTGCCAACGTACGCGGCGTGCGCGCGGGCCGTGGAGGGGGCCGCACGGCCGCCAACCCGACATTTCGGAAAACAAATAGATAAACAAATGGACGAAATTTTTGTCAAAAACCGGGGCATCGAAGAGTTACATGCAGCGAAGTCGAAATGTCCTCGCGATTTCGCACGAACGCTCTCGCAAACACGACACACTAGAGCGAAGAAACGGCGGCCAAGGAGGTGGAGAAGAAGCAGTACAGTAGGAGGCCGAGGACGGTGACGAAGAGGAGGAGGAGCGCGACGGAGACGGAAAAACTCTTTCTTTGAGGGCTAAGCGCGGCTGAGGCCACGGCTGAGGCTGAGGCAGGTTGGAGGCAGGACGGAGGCTGAGGGCGACGCGACGCGCGGGAAGAAATACGGGATCAGTAAATCCGTTTGGGAAGGAGTTTCGGGGGATTAAGGCGTCTGCGCATGCGCCAAGCGAGGCGCGCGGTGGGGAGGGGAGACGGGCGGGCGGGCGGACAGACAGGCAGACAGACAGACAGACAGACCGTCACGGGACGGGTGAGATGCTAATTCCCATCATCGCAGGTGAAAACAGAAAAACGCCCCGGCCGCCACTGACCCGCGGAAGCCGCTGAGGCCGCGGAGCAGGAAGACACTTTTTGACGCCTCATTCAGCCGATTCAATTTTTTTTTTCGTCCTACTGCACCCGGATTCGTCGCTGTGTCTCTCTGTCGCACTCACGCGGCGCCCCGTCAGGGTGCGAGAGAGACGGAGCGACTATCTCCTGCTGCGCGGGGCGCGGGGCCCGAGGCGGTCCGGGCTTAATCCTTTCCAGCGGGATGACTCGACACCTCTCCTTGGGGGCCAACAACCAAGGCACGCCCAGCGCCTCGCGAGAGAGACGACGTATGAGACAGTGCACTCACCTGGAGCCTTGCCGTCGTGCTCCTGCTTCATGGCGGGCATGCCTGCCACGGCGCTGGCGTAGGCGCGCTCCGCCCGCTCGGCCGCTCGGCGCGCTCCGCCCTGTCCGCGCGCTCGCGCTCCAGGGCCTTGGCGTCGCGCTCCTCGGCGGGCGGCGCGGGCGCGGCGGCGGCGGGGGCGGGCGAGGAGGCGGGCGACCGGGCCGGCGAGCGCGCCGAGGCGGGGGTGGCGGCGCGCTGCTGCTGGGGGGCGGGCGGCGGCGCGGCGGCCGCCCCCGTGGCCGCCCCGGTCGGCGGCGCCGGCGACGCGCTGGACGGCGGCGAGGGGCTGCGGCCCGGACTGCTGGGCGGGGACGCCTTGATCCTCTGAAACACACACACACACATGCAAATCAGGAGCCGCAAGCAGGAGAGCGGCCCTCGCGGGGCGTCCCGCCGGGGCGCGAGAGAGACAGCGGAATGGGCGCACGGCCCGAGGGGATGACGCGCCGCGCGTCATTCAGATTGATCGCAATAAATCAATCAAGACGATTGATTCAGATGAGGAACGATTATCTCGGCCTGCCCCCTCCCTTCCCCCTCCCTCTCCGCGCCTCGGGTGCCTCGGGTCGACGCCAGCTTCGTTGCTTCCATGTCACCACTAATCAAAACGGCACTTGATGTCGTTCATTGGGCGGCCGGCGGGGACGCCAAGGGGGACGCGGTCGGGAGGGAGAGGCGGGCTGGCTAAAGCCTCCGCGTCTTTGCCGCCTTTGCGCGACTCTCAACCGCCGTCGCCGTCCTCGCCGTGCTCGCCGTCCTCCACGGAGAGAGTGCCTTGGCGGCGGTGGAGTGCGAGTGCCACCCCTAACTCCTCTCGCTGAGCAGCGCTGAGCTGCCATGCGTGAAGGTATGCCGCCCCCCCCCCTTTTCCGCCTCCTCCGCGACGCGGTAGCGCGGTGGCGGTGGCCCGGTCCGCGACGAGACCCGCGGCACGGCGGCGCGGCGGCTGCGCGCGCGCGATACCGACCGCGACACCGACCGCGTCGATAGCGACGGAGGATTATCTGCCTCAAGTTCGCGCGCGCGAGAGAGAGAGACAGGAAGTTTGAGAAAAAATGGCATAAAAATGACACCACTGCTGTAGCGCCGCCTCCTTATCGTGGCCGAGCAAGGCGCCGTTCTGGCCGCGCAGTGGCCGTGCACAGTGCAGGCCCGCCGCCTAATTGAGTCCCTGTGTCGTCGTCACGATACCGCGACTCGACCACGCCACCGTGATTCGCGGCCGAATCAGAATCTCCCCGCAGCACGGCTGTAACAATTATCCGACTTAGTTCTACTTTTTTTTTCCTCTCTCTCTCGGCAGCCGACGTGTGGATGTGTCACGGCGTCGATCCGGGCGCCACTTAAGGCGTGTGACGTCCTAAGACACCGCCCCCCTCCCCCCCCGCCCCCTCGCCTCGCGGCCGCGACTGCCGCGCGAGCGGCGTAGATTGAGTCGAGTTAACTCCCGACGGCGCGCCGCGCTGCGCCGCCACGCCCCGCCGGCTCACCCGACTTGAAATCGACCAAATTTGGGTCAATTGAAGTCAAAAGGCATCAGAATGGCGATTGAGGCTGGCGGACGGGCGCTGCAGCTAAGCTGCGGCAGCGCGGCCAGCCACGCCCCGCAGGGCCGCCCGCATTACACTCACACTCACTCACACACACGCAGATGACACCCTTCAATCCCAGTCCATATTCATCAGCCCGGTCACTTTATATGCCACAACTCACTCCGGCCGTTTTGTGCGGGTTTTCTTTCTCTGTCTTTCCCTCGACGGCGGCCGCCTCTCTGTCTTTCCCTCTGCTGCTCGATGGAAGAAGTGGCGGGGCGGCAACGCGAAGTCACTGATTCGAAAACGCGCGCGGGAACACGCCGGCCGGCCGGCCTTACAGTGTGGCTGCATCAAGCAATTGCGCGCTTCTCGGAAGGCGGCGGCGGCATGGCAGTGGCGGCGCACCGGGAGCACCTCGCGCAGCATGGGAACCAACGGGCTGCTGCTGCACTGGTGCCTCTGGTGCACTGCGGCAGGGCCAGCGGGCCTTCCCTCCGACACGTCGGACGGACATCGGGGCGGCGCGGCTCCGCGAGGACAAGAAGCAGCGCGAGATGTCGACGGCAGCCTGCACGACCGCCATCGCCGTCCCGGAAGGAGGCACCACCGTCTCCCCGCCTAATTGTTTCTGCACTCTTGCCGCGGAAAGGCGCGCCAGTCGCGAATCCCCGACTGGCGGGGCTCGGCGGGGCTCGGCGGGGCGGCTCGCTGCAGCGCGACAGTTTGGCCGAACAGGTTCCGCGGGGCGGTGTGGCGGTCGGCGCTGCTAAGCCGCGTCGCCCCGTCTCTCTCGCACCCCACGGCACCCTGCCGGACGCCCCGCGAGTGCGAGAGAGAGCGCTGTTCGGAATGCAGGTGCGCGGCCGCGAGGCCCGGCAGGCTCCGGTGTCGATAAGCGAAGCGCGGCTCATCAAAAAACCGCCGCGGTCCGACTCACTAGCCGAGCCAGGCTGACTAGCCTGACTAGCCGCGGCCCGATTCCCGGAACTCCGTCTGTCTGTCCGTCCGTCCGTCTGTCGGCCGAGATGATCAAAACGTTCGAACACGACGCCCAGCAGCGCCCAGCTGTCACGGGCCACCGAGCAGCGGGCGGCGCGGTGCGGCGCGGCCAGAGCACCTTCGGAGGAGTCACTTTGACGGGGGTCACGTGGTCCGCCGAGGCGCATGCACGCACAGGGCCCCAACCGCTCATTATCAAAGCTTATTCCTCTTCAATTTGCGTCGAGGACTTCCAGGACGTCGTCCACCAGCACGGCGCGGCACGGCACGCCAGATAAAGACAAAGTAGAATCTGTCTCATCGCGTGCTAAACGAGATGTAAACAGGGAATGACATGAGAAACGGACTGCCAGATTGGCGGTTTGTCGAAGCCGCGGCGGTTCGCCGTGTGGCGTGTGCATCGCGCCACCGGGAAGAAGAAGACGGCCACCACGCCGGCCGCCAAATTGTACCCGCTGCACTCGGAAAGTCTCCGCGAGTGTCTCTGAGTTTTCGTGACTCTCTTTCCTTGTTTTCATTTTTCAAAGGAAAAACTGATCTTTGAATACTTCCTTTTGTAAAAGAAAAAGTTTATTGAAACAATTAACTTGTTTTGAGAGAGTCCCTTCTCCGTAACGGCCCTAGCAACAGGCGGACGGACGCCTCTCTCGCGCGCGGATTTTTATTCCACTGTCACCGCCTCGCTGCCTCACTGCGAAATAAACCCACCAGAGTACTCGGTACCCGCGGCGTACTCGGAGGGAAGTGCCTGCCTGCAATATCCGCCCATAAATGCACACACTGTGCGTCCCTCTCCCCCCGAGACGCGGCCGCAGCAAAAACAATCAACAGTGCGCGAGGACTCGACTCAACCCTACCCGCACCACGCAGACAGACAAACCGGCACTAAAAAAAAAAATTCCTATGCAAAAAAGATAAAGTTAAAAAATAGCCGTGTGCGCGCACACATTATCATTGCAAAATGTTGCATCGCGGACTGCTTTCCGCGCCTTTCCGCCACGGCGGCCCAGTTGGGGCAACTTTATTTTTTCCGCAACCCCTCTCGTACTCGTCGCACTGCTCGCGCCGCTGCAGCGCTAATCCAGAGCCATTATTCTGTCCAGGCGCGGTGCTGGCGGTGCAGGCGGTGCAGGCGGTGCTGGCGGTGCTGGCGGTGCAGGCGGTGCAGGCGGTGCTGGCGGTGCTGGCGGTGCAGGCGGTGCAGGCGGTGCTGGCGGTGCAGGCGGTGCTGGCGGGTGCTGCCGGTGGGGTGACCGGCGAGGCGGAGCGGCGGCGCTAAGCTCAACACCCTCCCCGGCCTCCGCGGCCTCCCCGCGCACCTGTTGCCCCGCGCTCCGCCCGCCCCGCCCGCCCCGCCCGCCCCGCCGCCACCCGCGGCCGCCTAACCTGCCCCCCGGGTACCCTTGGGGTAGTCCGCGGGCCGACGGCAACGCGGCGGCGCAGCTTGCGTGGAGCGGACTGCATTTCCTGCACTCTTAGTGCCTTGTCATGTGACGGACGGGCCGGGACGACGCAGCGACGCGGCGACGCACAGAGGTGGAACCAACCGTTTCCCCGCGGCCCGCGGCGGTGCAGGGGGCGGGGGGGGGGGGGGGGGGGGTCGCCGCCGCCATCTTGAACGGGTATAGCTAGCCCGCGGTGAGCGAGTGTTGCGCGCCCGCCTCTGTGTGAGTGTGTGTGTGCGTGAGTGCGCAGCTACATCGAGTGAGTGGAGGAAGCGGCGACTGATGTCCAGCAGCACACGGGGGGTAAATTACAGGAAGGACGACTTGTAATTGTGTGTGTGTGTGTGTGTGTGTGTGTGTGTGTCTGTGTGTGCTGGTGTCAGTGCGTTCGGTGCCACTAATGGGGGACACCACAGCAACCCTCAACATTTTCACCCACGCTCAGCGCCGGTACTCACACACTCACTCACACACACACACACACACACGCGCGCGCGCGCAAACGCACCACCGGTGTACTACTAGGACGGCTACAGTCCGGACGGATATGGCGCTCCACCGGGCGTAACCAAAGCGGTGACGCTCTGCCCCTCCCCCCTCCCCCTTCTTTCTCTCTATTCCTTTCTCTCTCTCTCTCTCTCTTTATGCCTCCCGCACCTTCCAGCTGGGAGTCATCGGTGTCACACAGACACTGAACGGCTGGACGTAGTACTCCTCCTTGACGACGACACGGGAAAACACTTGCAGCAAACGCGTCTCTCGGTGGAAAACCGCGCACGCGCGCACACACACACACAAACACACACACACACCACCTGACACGTCCGCGACACACGGGAAGTTGGTAGAGGGGGGGATATAACGCGTTCGGCTTTTCGGAAGCACACGAGGTGAATCGCTGCCGCCGCCTTCCCTGTGCGTGCTCCGGCGGGACGCGGCGCGGCGGGGCGGGGCGGGGCGGGGGCGGGGGAGAGGAGCGAGTTACAATGCTCACTACACTCGCACGCACTTCATACTTGACTGAGCGCTCTGCTTGGGAAGATATCATGGAAATATCACGTTGTTGTGTATCCG